GTCAAAAATAGCGGGAATAATTGGGAGGGACTTCCTACACCCACTTGGGGTAATTTACACACCCTTAAGCCTCAAATAATGGGGAGGGGGACAACCCAAAATGAGTTGGTGCGGACAAGAGGATGGGAAGCCTCTTAGAGACAAAAACCCACACCCCAAGTCTCACTCATGCATAGTACATGTGCTTGATTGAGTGAAGTACCTCCCCTATCCTTTGCACTCATTTTCGTCCAACCAAGAGGAGGAGCTCCAGAGAAGTCTTCTCCCAAGAACTCATAGCTTGAAGAAGCACAAGGAAGAAGGAACCCAAGAGAAAAGAGCTAACTTTAGGTAAGAATCCAACTAGTATGAATTAACTAGTATTATTATTGTATGATTTTTAAGAAATCATATAGTGGATTAAACATGAAGTTCTACACGTTTAAAAGTGTGGAATATTGTTATACAGTGGTGGTATTTAACTTAGAAGAGTCGTGGAATCGATAGGAGTTGAAACCGCCGGAAACTGCCATTGTTGGGGACTGTTTTCGAGCTACAGGCCCGAAAGCCGCCCACCTTTTGCGATGATGCCTTATTGACACGATTTGAGGTGAGACCTACTTTGCTTGACGAGATCAAGAAGGGTCAAGAAACTGACGAAGAACTTATGAAGGTCCGGGAACGCATGCAAGCGGGACTGGTGGAGGATTTCAGGGAAAGAGATGATGGTCTCTTATTATTTCGTGACCGAGTGTGTGTACCGTCGGATGATGAGCTCCGAAAGTTCATCTTAGAGGAATCTCATTCATCGGCCTCTGCCATGCGCCCGCAGGGGGGGGGGGGCACGAAAATGTACCGTGATTTGAAAGAAAGTTACTGGTGGTCTCGTATGAAGAGGGAAATAGCTGAGTACATCAGCCGATGACTTACTTGTCAACAAGTTAAGACAGAACATCAGCATCCAACTAGGTTATTACAGCCACTTTCCATTCTAGAGTGGGAATGGGAGCACGTGACTATGGATTTTGTGGTAGGGCTACCACGGACAGTGAAGAATTATGATGTCGTATGGGTTGTGGTTGATAAGCTCATGAAAGTGCACATTTTCTACCTATGAACACTACATATGCACTTGAGAGGTTAGCCAAATTGTATGTAGATGAGATCGTGAGGCTACATGGGGTTCCTATAACCATTGTACCCGACAGGGATCCACGATTCACATCACGATTTTGGCCGAAGTTCCAAGAGTCTATGGGAACGAGATTGAAGTTTAGCACTGCTTTTCATCCACATACGGATGGACAATCGGAGAGGGTCATACAGATTTTAGAGGATATGTTGAGAGCTTGTGCATTGGAGTTCCAAGGAAGTTGGGAAAACCATTTAACACTTGTAGAGTCTGCCTATAACAACAGTTACCAGGCGAGTATTGGCATGCCTCCATACGAAGCATTGTATGGGAGGAGATGTCGTACACCGTTGTGTTGGGATGAGGTTGGCATGGCCAAGCTCGAGAGCACGGAATTGGTGGAGATCACCAAGTCAAAAGTGAAGATGATTCGAGAGAGACTCAAGGCAGCCCAGGATAGACATAAGAGCTATGCCGATAAACGCCAAAGAGCCTTAGAATTCAAGGTGGGAGATGAGGTATTCTTGAAAGTTTCACCTTGGAAAGGAATTATCCGATTTCAAAGCCGAGGGAAACTTAACCCACGATACATAGGGCCATTTGTAATTCTTAAGAGAGTTAGGGCCGTAGCATACCGACTACAGTTGACTCCAGAATTGGAGAAGATACATAACGTGTTCCACGTGTCTATGCTAAAGAAATACATGTCGGATCCGTCTCACGTGTTAGAGAAACCACCTGTGGAAATACGTGAGGATTTGAACTATGTCATTCGACCGGTAAGGATACTTGATAGGCAAGTAAAGAAGTTGAGAAGCAAGAAAGTTCCAATGGTTAAAATCCTTTGAAAAAGTGACCGAGTTGAAGAAGAAACTTGGGAAACGGAAGCCTTGATGAAGGAACAATATGCATTTCTATTTGATTGAGCATTTGTGAATTTCGGGGACGAAATTCCCGTTAAGGGGGGGGGGGGTGAACTTGTGACACCGCACCCGGATGTACTTGAATTCGAAATTTGATATGTATTTGAATTTCCTAGCGAATAAATAATAAATTCGTGTAACGGATTGACCTATTTAATTAATACGTGGTTAATTAAATTATTTATCGGGCCCATAATAATAAGAATGGACTACCAAATATTTAGTTGGGTCATCGTAATAATTTTAGAAGCCCAATAGAATGTGAACTAAGGTTGATGAAAGTGTTTGGACAACCCGAGTGATATTTTGGCCCAGCCTGCCAAAAATAGCGGGAATAATTGGGAGGGACTTCCTACACCCACTTGGGGAAATTTACACACCCTTAATCCTCAAATAATGGGGAGGGGGACAACCCAAAATGAGTTGGTGCGGAAAAGAGGATGGGAAGCCTCTTAGAGACAAAAACCCACACCCCAAGTCTCACTCATGCATAGTACATGTGCTTGATTGAGTGAAGTACCTCCCCCTATCCTTTGCACTCATTTTCGTCCAACCAAGAGGAGGAGCTCCAGAGAAGTCTTCTCTCAAGAAGTCATAGCTTGAAGAAGCACAAGGAAGAAGGAACCCAAGAGAAAAGAGCTAACTTGAGGTAAGAATCCAACTAGTATGAATTAACTAGTATTATTATTGTATGATTTTTAAGAAATCATATAATGGATTAAACATGAAGTTCTACACGTTTAAAAGTGTGGAATATTGTTATAAAGTGGTGGTATTTAACTTAGAAGAGTCGTGGAATCGATAGGAGTTGAAACCGCCGGAAACCGCCATTGTTGGGGACTGTTTTCGAGGTGCAGGCCCAAAATCCGCCCACCTTTTGCAAAAGCCGCCCACCTTTCGTCTGTTGTCCATAATTTTCATCTCCAATCGGTTTAGAATGGGGATTGATCGAAGGGCTTAGCAAAGGCAACTATTTCAGCACTTCATAAGGTGAGGATGGCTGACTATATTGCTTATAATTAGTGAGTTAATTTCATGAGACTACCTAAGGTAATTAAATGTGTTTTTAAGGATTATTAATGATTAATAATGCCTAAGAATGAGAAGACTATTGTCTATAAGGAAAAGGAGCATAATATACAAATTTAAGAATAAATTGTGTCTGATTATGTGTTAAGAGCATGTTGGCTTGATAAAGGAATTAACTATAAACTATATGTTGAAATATAATTTTTACTTCATATAAGAGTATATGAGTGATTAAAAGTTATATTTGTATATTGATTTGAACTATATTTTCAATGGAAAATTAGTTTGGAATTTGTCTATATGACTATGAATTGAAAATTGGTTTTGGTTTTGTTGGAATTTATCCGACTAGTATTAAGATAGTAATCGGGGTATTGGAATGAGAATATGTTAGAATTGATCCAAAGGTTGGATTGTGAAATTGGAACCTTAAGTAGTCTTAGTCACTCTGAGGAGATGCTAAGGTGGATAAGTATGAACTTTAATTGATACTAGGGGTAGGCCTTAAGGGATACCCAAGACAAAGTGAATAACAAATTGATCCTAGATATAGGATTGGCCTACGGGTGTATTCGGTAGTCCTTGAGGATAGCCGGTTAAGTTATGGTAAATAGCAAGGACCATGGCCCTTCTCGACTCTAGAGAGCGGGGTTGGATAGCATGGACTTGCATCGTGATCACGGGTTAGAGTGGAATCCGAACCGAAGACCTTACGAGGCTCCCGACAGCGGTAACACTTAAGATAGGACCCCGAATAGACCTTACCTTCCTACGAGATGATGGGTATGAGTCCAGGGGCGGGATGTTGGACTCCGGCCCGAGGGCCCGAGGAGGTCTCAGATAGCGGTGACAAATCTCGTACGGGTTAGGGTGGAATCCGAACCGGAGACCTTACGAGGCTCCCGACAGCGGTAACACTTAAGATAGGACCCCGAATGGACCTTACCTTCCTACGGGATGATGGGTATGGGTCCAGGGGCGGGATGTTGGACTCTGGCCTGAGGGCCCGATGAGGCCTCAGAGAGCGGTGACAAGTCTCGTAAGGATGATAAGACCTACAGGCGGTGTCGTGTAAACGATGAATGCAATGGAATATAAAAGGGGCCACGTGCCGACAAATTAATTAATTAACTTATTATGAAGATAATAAGGGTTAAAGAAGAACTATCATTATATTATGATATCACTCTATTTGAGGGTCTTAGAAATTGAAACATTGATTATACTTAGTATAGTTGTCATTGTACTTGTCAAATGCTTCCAAGTACTGACCTCCTCTTCACGGGGGAGGCCACCTCACAGTTTCAGGTAGAAGCTGAGCTTGCTACCAGTGCCTGTTGCTTCGGGAGAATCAAGGAAGGAAGACATGGTTCGTGCTTCCTCCGCTTCTGTTTTAAAAACATTTAAATTAATGTTCATGGATATTATTTTTGAATAATTATCTGGGGGCTTGTATGCCCATGTTTGCCAAAGTGTGGCATAAACACTTGTATTAAATGTTTCCGCTGCATTTAAATGAATATTTTACATTATGTTTGTTTATGGATGTACTATATGTGAATGGTATTCAAGACACCTAGTATAGTATGGATGAGTTAGACTGCGGTTGACTATTCGTACTGTACGGCGGGTTGTTGACGTGTCCGGTAGGTCCGGGACATGACAGATATGGCCTAGGCAATTCAATTGTTCTTGGCCAAAAGAACACTTCTTCTGGTTATCCACTAACTGATTCCTCCTCAAAGTATCCATAATCTTCCTTAAGTGTTCCTTATGATCCTCCCTAGTTTTACTATAGACTAGGATATCATCAAAGAACACATGGGAAAAATTTCTCAGAAAAGGCCTCAACACCTCATTCATAAGACCCTGGAATGTTGAAGGTGCATTAGTCAGCCCAAAAAGCATGACTAGGTATTCATAATGACCTTCATGTGTTCTAAAGGCTTTTTTTTAATGCAAAGTAAATTTTATTAGATAATAAAAAAGTACAGAAAAAAGAACAAGAACAGAAGGAATAAAAAGAGCAAAGAACAAATAGATAAAAATACAAAGTGAAAATGAAAAAAAAGGACTAATAATACTCGGAGCCACTCCAATCTTCTTCTTCCCAATGGATACCAAAACCTCGAGATTGTGATCTGGTGGTCATTGAATGCAATCGCCGATTTTTCTTTCTTTTCTGATAGATTTTGATCTGAGTGTTTAAATTATCGGTCGGAAGACAATTATCCTGAGTGATTAGGAGAGCCTTCTTGCAAATATTTGTATTTGTGTCAGCGTCCCAAAGGTCCTCTACCAACACGTTCGGCGGTCTCTTGTCGCTTTCCGAGGCATGACCAATAAATTTGTCCCCTGAAAAATATCTATCTGAATGTTCTGAAAAGGCAATGATCTTGTGATTTCCAGAAAAGATATCACATTCCTCCAATTTTTGTTCCTTAGGGTTTTCCAAATCAGCCTGAATAAGAAGCTTTGAGATAGAGATATCTACAGACGAGCTTTGCTCCTCATAGGTCGTAAGAGGGTCTGGATCAAATCTCCCTGATGATGAAAGTGTATTATCTAGCATATTAAAAAAAGCAGATAATCCCGAAAAATTGTTGCCGGTTGGGATAATTAGTAGACGTCCCTTGGTTTGAGAGATACGAAGGAACTCTCCAAAATTATTACTTGCAAGGTTAATACTCAAAAGCCTGTTGTGCCTCGAATAAATCCATTTGTTTCCATGAAGAAGACCTGCAATTGAATCACGAAGCCAACTCGCTGCATCCAAAGTCAATGACATTTTTTGAAGAAAATTATTTTTAATCTCCAAAATTGACCTTCATTCTAATATGATGATATCCGGATTTGAGGTCCAGTTTTGAAAAGATGATTGTACCACCTAATTCATCAAGCAATTCTTCTATAACTGGGATGGGAAATTTGTTAGGCACAGTTATTTTATTTAAGGCCCTATAGTCCCCACAGAACCTCCAACCCTCATCCTTCTTTTTGGCCAATAAAATAGGGCTGTTATAGGGACTGTTGTTGTGCTTAATGATTCCAGAACTTAACATTTCACCAATGATTTTCTCTATTTCATTTTTCTGATCAAATGAATACCCGTAGGCTTTAAATTTGGAATAGTTGCTCCTTCTTTGATGTTTATATTGCATGATCACAGCTTCTTATAGGAGGGAACTGCAGCTATTGTGAAAACTTCTTGAAATTCTGTAATGATGCCTTCCCAATCTTCTTCTCCCTTTCTATCATGTCCCCATGTACTCATGTACTAATCTGACCTTCATAGTACATCAAGTGGCCATCCCCTGTCTATTGTAAAATGTGTAGCATGGTTTTTAAGGGTGCATCCAAGTTGTTCAAATGTGTAGCATGGTTTTTAAGGGTGCATCCAAGTTGTTCAAATCTCTTTCCCCTTTTATCACATGGTTCTGCCCTTATTTCCTCCACTTTATCACTTGATTCTGAAAGTTCACCTCCATATTACCCAGTTCAGTGAACCACTCCATGTCTAGAACCACATTTGCGCCTCCTAACTCCAAAATGTAGTGTGGTTGTTGAATAACAGTCCCCTGCACAACCAATTTCACCCCACTGCACCTGCCACTGTTAGGGATAAAATCTCCATTCCCTATTTGTACCTTATATCCTTGAATAGGAGTAAAAGGGATCTTCCACTTGTCCACTAAACTCTTTGCCATGAAATTGTGGGTGGCACCACAATCAATCAGTATATTGACATATTTCTCCCCATATTTCCACTTCAACATTCCTTTCACTCTAAAAGTTTTCATGGAAGGAATTCCCTCGTTACTTAAAACTGATAATTGCATAGTTTTAAGTTTCCTGGGATCCTCTCCTTCATCTTCAGATTCAAATATCTCCCCTTCTGATTCATTTTCTCCTTCAGATTGTTCAACCAAAATCATCTTGTAATTCTTCATTTTGCAGATGTGTCCCTTACCCCAAAGTTCCCCACATTTGAAACACAATCCTTTTCTACTCCTGTCTAGCAACTCACTCTTGGATAATCTGGGACCCTCCCTCTTAATATTCTAACCTTTATCTTCATTAATGAGTTTATTATCCCCTGAATATTTACTCACAGTTGTAGAAGTAGTAGGGTAACTTTTCCACCTGCTCCCATCACCCTAGTTTTGGCTTGTATTCTGCTGATTCATCATGCCATGTCCTCTCTTCCTTCCTTCTTCTCTGTTCTTTACAAACATGGATTCAATATTATTGTTTTCAATTAAAGTAGCTTTATCCATTACCTCAGCCAAGGATCTTGCAGAGTATAACTTCAATTCAGCCCTGATATCCCTCCTTAATCCTTTGAGAAAAAATCCTCTCAGAACTTCTTCAGTTAAGTGACCTTGGGAAGCTATGGAGGTCTCAAATTGGTCTCTATACTCCTGTATAGTTCCCTTCTGCTTCAAACTGAATAGAGGCCCCAAAGGATCTTGCACCATATTTGGCTGAAAATGTCTGGATAGAGCACTAGTAAAAGTATCCCAATTCTGGGGCTGAGCTTGTCCCTCCCACCATTGGAACCAACTCAGAGCTTGGTCTTCCATGGCCACAACCGCAACATCAATTTTGTCCTCTTCCTCTGTACAGTTCAATCGGAAGTACCGATTCATCCTTACTAACCATCCAAACACATCCTTTCCGTTGAAATTGGTAGGTCAAATTTTCTACCTACCGGATGATGACGACTGTGATTCCTGTGTGGATCGCGATTACTATGCGATGCAGAATGATCGGAGTGATGATCCGAATCATCTGAATTGTCGTTGTTCTTCATATGTCGGTGATGAGCAGTGTGATGCGAGGTAGTAGACTGATGCGATCGACTCCTCGATCGATCTGTCTTCTGGTTCTTAATCTCCACGAAGCCAGCCTGCATTATCGCTATCACTTCCTCGAACTTCGCATTTGATTCCTTATGATTTCTGTCAATGTTCCTTTCAATCTCTGTTATTCATCCCTCCATTTTCTTCCTCGTTCCAACCATTCACGGCTTCGACGAGGCTCTGATGCCAATGATAGAGTTACGCAGGAAAGAATACAGTAATTCGAACAAGAATCTAGCTCATCAAAAGAAATCAAGATCAAGAACACAATCAACAGTGTATTGATATGTGTAAACAGTCTACAAAGTCCCAAAGGAGATAACACTCCAACTTCCCAGCCAAGACAATGCGTCTAGAAAACTGCCTACCCCGCAGCTCCCCAGTTTATTCTATTTATAGACATAACTCCCAACCATAAGTAGTTACAAGCAGTTAAAAGAAATAACAACTAAACTACTTCCTCCTTCTAAATAAACTTGGCTATAATATTTGTCTTCTTTATTAAAGTGGCCTGTGTCTCTATCAAAAAGAGGTAAAGCTTTTGCACAAGGGTGAGGCGTGGCGCGGTTGATAGATTTTTCAAGTCACTGAAGATGGTTTCCAAGGCTTTGGGTGGGGCCGTGGGGGTGTTGGACTATGCCGTTGAAGGGTAAGTGTGATGGCAAAAATTCTGCTAATTCAATCTTAAGAAAAAATTAACACATAAAAATCAAAATCGGAGAACTACAAAATCTATGTCGCCTATATGAATATTAAATTGGAAAAGTGAGTGGGACGAAGGTTTGAAGCTAGAAGAGAAGAACCTATTTCTAAGTCTACAAGAACTTTTTTGGATTTCATAATTTCCAAGTTTTTAGAAATGTATAAAATTAGGAACACTTTTGGAGCAGTCAGATGCAAATCACAACTCCACAAGTACCGTTTTTCTTGTGCTGTGATGTTTACGGATTTGGAACTTGAAAGATTAAGGCCAAGTGTTTTTCTCTTTTATATTAGATATTTAGATGTTAAGGTAGCTGAATGCCTAAGTTTTAATTATTTGAGTGATCTTCTAATTTACCAAAAAAGGCTATTGAATTGAGATTTAAAAGTCAATCTCTCTGTCTCTTTGGTGTAACAGAAAAAGGGAAAATCGCACTTTTAGTCCCTGAAATAATCACCATATTGAAATGTCAGACTCATATTTTTCTAGATTGTAAATTTCGTCCTTTAATTGTCCAAATTATTGTAAATGTGGTCCTTTGAGGGATGAAATGTACTTCTCGCCCACATTGTACATTTCACCCCTCAAAGGACCACATTAACAACAATTTGGATAATTGAGAGGTGATATTTACAAACTCGGAAATACAAGTCTGGCATTTCAATATGATGACTATTTCAGAAATCGTTTTTTCCCTAAAAAATGTCACGTTGATACGTTTTTCCATTACTATACGAGCACAAAAAAAGTTGTTTGTATTATACGTGTTCAGTTTATCTTATTCGTAGTAGAAAATAGCTAATGTTTAAAACAGATGATGCGATTGTATGGGATATGATGCGATTTTTTTGTTCTCTAAAAAACATAGCTGATGTTTAAAACAGATAAATCACATAGCATATCCAATAAGATATCAAATGCTACAGTCCATGGTATGGTTTTAACTCTTCATTGTATTGATAGGAGACTAGGGTGACTCCACACTTTTGCCTCAGTATGTATCGTAGTTCAAATGCTACCCAGTGTGGCTTGCTTGCTTAAGTTCTGCTAATTTATTCTTATTGACATATGTATTTTTCTTGGTTACTTGAGTTGTGAAAATTTAATAATCAGTTTGTGCTAATTTAAGATTTCTTGATTGTTTTTTGTTGCTATTGTTATTTGAATAGGTTATACTCCATCCGTCCTGAATTAATTGCAAACTTTGACTGACACACGGATTAAGAAATGACAATAAATGATGCTTGCTTTTTACAGATGCCTTTAAGTTAATGAGAAAAAAGTAAAAGTACGGGTAAATTTGTCATTAAGTTCTTTTTACGGGGCTATTTTGCCGAGTTCCTTAGAGAGAGTTTTCTCACGCCCCTAGGTATTATCTACCTACCCACCTGTGTCATTTTCGGGTACATGTATACTTTTGTTTACAGTCATTCGAGCTTCCCCTGGGAGTGTGGGGGTATTATTTATGAGGGAGTATTATGTATGACTGCATGAGATTCTTTTGTATATTGTTTATAAGAGTTGATCGTTTTTTACTACTCAGTGATATCCCGTGTGAGACTTTAAGAATAACAAATTATTTCGTATTTTTGTCATAAATATATACTATTAAGTTGTTCTAGCCTTCTAGGTAGTGATGAGCAAAAATGTTTTTGTTAATGAGTAACAACGAGATAATATGTTGTCATTATATTTTAACATGAACATCCTTGTTACAACTTTTTAACGAGGGAATCCATTACAACGAACCATCGTCGTTATAGAGTATATTCTACTCCCTCTGTCCCTAATTAAAGTTTACACTCTTTTTGTAACACCCCGGTCCCACCGGACCCGAGGTAGTTACTCCGGACCAATAGTACTGTACCCACAAACCACCACGAGCCTTTACCGCGCACTTTGTCCTCACTCATGCGCGCCCTGAGAAACTTCCCAGGGGGTCACCCATCCCAAGGCTACTCCCGTGCAAGCACGCTTAACTTTGGAGTTCTTGGGTGATGAACTCCCTTAAAAGGAGATGCACCTCTGTTGGTATGAGTAGTACTATTAATCCGTTTATATTAAATCTCAAGTATTACACTTTTGCAATCACATTAAGGAAATGACATTGTTTGACAATTTGACATTGTTTTGATATTGTTTGACATTTTTTTTGACACTATTTAATACTCCCTCCATAATATAAAATGTGCACCTTTCAAAAGTAGGTAGATTAAGAATAGTGAAAGATGATATAAATTATTGAGAGTATGAATAGAAAATATTGAAATAGTGTGATTGAATGAAAGATAAATCCAAAAAAATTATTGTAATAATGTATTATTTTCAAAATTATTGAAAGTATGATTAGAAAATTTAAAATAGGAAGATTTTTTTGTTACAGGCTAGAAATGAAAGTGGAAAGTTTTTTTTTGTTTGAGTATCTTTTGCTTAGTAAAACAGTCTGTGATAAAAGGATGACACCCCATCCCTGAGGGCTTCCCAACACCGATCGGACGGCACGATGGGAGAATATAAATTGGACTATAATCACATTCTGACAGATAGAGAGTGGGACTCTGTCTCCGATACCAGTTGAGCTACGCCCACCGGTCTGTGATAAACAATGATAAATTGAAAATATGAATTGACAAACAATAAATGCATCCAATTTAAAAGTTAAAACATGTTCGAACTTGAAAAAAGGATGACACCCCATCCCTGAGGGCCCTCCAATACCGACTGGACGATACGATGAGAGAATGTAAATTGGACTATAATCATAATCTGACAGATAGAGAGATGAGTTCCGTCCCCGGTAATTGCAGAGGCCCTCTCTGGAGTAAGGATGTTTTTACTTGGACTGTAATTTGTCCCATACCAGACCAGATTAGTCCAGTCCAGACTAGACCAGACCATTTCAGACCAGACCAGACTTGAATAGTTATAAAAATACAAAGAAATCAGACCTTACCAGACCAGACCAGTTCAGGCCAGATCAGATCAGACCAGACCAACAAATTACAGTCCAAGTAAAAACATCCTAACTTCTTATCGCAGTTGTCGAGAGTCGAACTCGGGACCTAACCGTTGTTGCACACCAGTTGAGTTACGCGCCTACGCCCACCCGTATTACTTGTTGGAACTACGCCCACCCGTATTACTTGTTGGAACTTGGAACAATATACGTTGTGCTTCATATGCAATGGCCAATGGGACAAGGATGGGTGGGGCCCATGGGAACTTTTGACTGTTTAGTCACTATGCATAGTGGATTAGTGAAGGTTCCTTTTTTCTCAGTTTTCTGTTGATGTACTCGGCAAAATAATCCTTTTCTCTCGGAGCGGAAATGTATGCGGCGGTCATCGCCACCCTCACGACGGTTGCAGCTGTAGCCAGACTCGCAGAGCAGTTCGGATACCTTTACAAGGGAACACAAGCTGATCCAGAAACGAAGGTTGATTCAGCTGCAGATAAATTGTTAGCCGATATTCGGTAATGATCTCTACTTTTTTGTTGTCTTTCAAATTTTTGGATCGATAAATTGGTAATTTGGATTAGTTTCTCTATCGTGGAGAGATGATCGCAAAGAATTGGTGATTCGTTTGGGCTACTAATGTAGTAAAAGCACTTCTGTTTCAATGCATGATCACATGATATGGAAGCAATTTATGTGTCATGTGTGTATGTTTTATTACGACATTAATAGGAACTAACTTACTAACCTGATGACATTTCGTCTCTAATTGCATTGAATTTTAATTTCTCTGTGTTGCCGTTTTTCTTTGTGTAATCTGGAAAACCTCAAGCTTCTTGTCGAGTGGAATTCCGAGGTTTAATGGGAGTGGATACGAGACATGGAGAACTATGATGAAAGCTATGCTCAAGACCCTAGATTTTTGGGACTTGGTGGAAAGAGGCTATACCAGAGAGGAGCTTATGGTTGAGGCTTTGCAAATTGTTCAGCAGAAGGATGCCTTGGCCTTGGTTATTATCCACAAAACTATACACGAATCTGTTTTCCCTTGCATTGCTAATGCCGAAACATCTAAAGAAGCTTGGGATGCACTGCAGAAGAAGTATGAAGGAGATGCAAGTGTTACCGAATCAAACAAAGCTAATGCCAAGGTATGCAGTTGCTATGATTTTCAAAGTTTAGGCATCAGCGGCGTAGCCATGGGTATAAATTGGCTCGGCCAGTACAAACAGGTTTTTTTTAGATAATTTTTATGCATAAAACTTTATACACATATACTCAAAGCTTTTCTCAAATTTGGGGTGGGCCGGGGCCTAGCAATCTAGCATGCCCCCCTAGCTATGCCCCAGGGCATAACTTTCAAAGTATGTTTAATCAACTTGTTGAAATGTTGGATAGTTATTTTTCAAATACGATTGCTGTTGTAAAATGAACGATAGAATACGGTGAAGCTTTGTTCAGAAAGGTGTGGCTAAAACAATTCTTAGTAGCTTTTTTAAGAAGTGACCATATTTTAAGATCATTTTTGGTGAATGCAGTGACCACTTTTTGGCTAAGAATATAATATCAAAGTACTTAAGAAAGTTAAATTTTAATGAATTGCTTAAATGTACTTAATCGGATGAGGGTAAATATGAATGTTTACGGTAATAGTAACTTGCAGGCTGTGGAGACAAAAAGAACTAGCAAAGACTTTGCAGAT